GCCTGACAGCTTGCTTGCCGGTCTTGCTACGTCAGTTGCAAAATTTCATCGACTTTTCCGGAAAGGAGTCGAGCAAACCACTCCCACTGGTCTTTCGTTCGCTTCAGCATTTCACTTTACAATTTTTTTTTTGTTGTGATGCAGCATTTTCAGCTTTTTTTACAGTAAAAAGGCATCACGTAGCATATCTCTTCAGATATTTCACTTATTTTCAAATCAATATAACTTTTTACACGAGCTAAGAATTAGAAAACTATCTGAACAAAAAGAATGTAAGCTAAAATGTTGCTTTATAAGCACATGTTCGCTTGAGACAATCAATTGAGTGCTGCCCGGTATATATTGGCATTAGCACCGACCGGCAGAAAAAACCGCGCAAGCTTTTTACATGACCTAATATATAAATAAAAAAATTATAAAGGAAAACAATTCGTGGAAAGGAAAAAAGAATATTAAAGGCAAGAACAACAAGCCTTATTGAAATTAAATAAACGCGAATTGTGTAAACAAACTTTGCAACGCACTTGCTATTGAAGCATATATTAGAAGAAAACAAGATACGCCGCCATTGTGCGCGGGAGATAGATTTTGGGGTCAAGCGATTAGATTAAATGAATTCACGTGAGGCTAAATAACAACATCAACAGCAACAAATGCGTTACGATAATATACGTTACGAAAAATAATAATCTGAAAAAGGTATCAACACGTTCATCTCAAACTAAATATATTTGATTAGATCGCGAAATGAAAAGAAAAATTTGAAAGAATAAACGAAAGCACTGCAGGGACGATGATTAATCCAACTGAGTAAGTACGTATTATGAAAAAATTTAGTTCGTTTTTATTCGCAAACTGAAAGTAATACAAATAACTAACGACAAAAAAAAAACAGAAAAAAATTTTATGCAAAGCATGAGATCAGCGGCTTGAGATTTTAATGCGGTTTAGTCAGATACGGACATCATAATAAATCGAAAACGAATATGCTCGCATTTATTATAAATACCTCATGCCAATTGATCGACTTGGTATGCGCTCTTAAGATTCAGTGATACAAATAATTGCTATGACATCATTCTAAGATGGCTCTTAAGAATATAGAGCAGTGCTGGTCCTTGTTCTCCCTTTCAAAATCTATGCAAAGTATACGATCAGTAGCTTGACATTTTAATGCGGTTAATAATTATTATAACATCATTCTAAGATACCCCCTAGGGATAGGGAACTGCTGCTCCTTTTTCTCTCTTTTAATGCTCCCTTTTATTTCGAGAAAGCTTGAAGCATTGCCGATATATTTTTTATTTAATTTCTTTTCTTCGAACAATCAAAAGTCTTGTGAAAAACATTCAATGCGACTCATGCACTTTGTCTTATTCCCACACCAACAATAACTTGAATTGGAGCAGAGGAGTGAGGCAAGTTACTAGGTTCGATTGGAGCGGTGAACACAATGAATGCACAATATTTTTTGTTAATTATCTTTTTTAAATGGGGGGGTCAATCGTTAAAGTCATAACATGTACCTCCTCCCTCTTTTTCTTTTCTCAATTCTTTCTGAGCAGCATCGGATATGTAAATGGTTGGTCCATTTTAAGAAACAACAAAACAAAAAAATGCATTCATTGCGTTCGATGCCTAAACAATAAGGTATTTGAATAACAATTGAAGATAGCGTTGGGTTAAGAAATAAAGCCATAGAGGCATAGTCAAGTAGTTAGGAATTGCGGTTCTAAAATCGATATACCCAGCTCAGCTGGTCGTAGGCCTTACTTTTTAAAATGAAATTATTATAATGATAATAAAAAACTAACTGTAATTATCATGAGAGAAACTGACGCCTTATTGACGACATGCGCGAAGCGAACATGCTGGGCTAATAAAGATTTTTATAGTTAAATAATTCTCAGCGTTTACTTTTCATCGAAAACTTTCTTCGTTCTTTCAAGGAAAATTGCCGCACTTAACGAAGCCAACAACATTGAAGCCTTAGCCTTTAAATGATAGCTTACTTAGAAAAAATTCTTTATTACGATCATAGCAGCCTCAACAGGCCTCCGCGCGGAGAATCGTAACGAGGCTGCATTTTATAGCCATTAAAGTCCCGCTACCGCGTGATACTAGTTAAGTGGCTGAAGTCATTTAGGGTCAAGCGTAAGTTTTCAAAGTCTTCAACGAAGAAGTAGATGTCAGTTTCCCTCTTTTTCTAAAAGTTAAAAGTTAAAAATTTTTTGTGAAAAAACGGTACATTATGTTTTTTTCAAAGTAAGATCCATCGCTAGTCACTGGTTTTTCCTGTTTTACTAGCAGCATTGGTATGCCACACTCTTCAACATTTAAGGCTACCACGAATATAATTTTTGGTATCTTCATGTAATGTGAAACGGTGGTCAGCCAGACCATGTGACTTATGGCTTTTGGCTTATCATTCTCATTTTTTATCGCGACTGGATCAATTATTGTGGTACATAATGTTGATATGGAATCATTAATATTATCAGATGAGCAAGCTTGTGAAATTACGTTTTGTATCTGCCAATTTCAACCAAACCTTCTGGTGGGGGCCATCATCTTCTGTCAAACGATGGAAAGTTATTTTTACTCTTATTATAAACAAATGTCTTCAATGTACAGCCAAGTCCTAACAACTTATATGTATATAAGGTAAGTAGAAACCACAACCTTGAGTAACACAGCCTTACTTCTTGCACAATATTGGATATCTTACTTGCATTGAGCTGCAAAGTTAAAGCGAAACCAGATCATTGAGGCATTATTTTAGCGTTGTAAATCTTTCGAAAAGCTTAAATGATTTCCTACATTGTATGAGCGTACGCAACACGGTGTGCGGTGTGAGTTTATATAAAATAAAAATTATTCTCTATTATCGTTAATTGCTTTATCAATGGAAAGTTAGGTGAGAGAGGAGATGTGCAGAGTATTCGGTTTATTGTTTGCTTTATTCTGTCTTTATGTTTGTATATATGTGCGTAAATGTGCTCGTTCGCCTGCGTTTATCATGTATCATTAATTATGTTGATAAGGGAAGACATTCCTTCAACTTTATTAATGCATGCAAATCATGCATATAATGTAATATAAATCAATTAAATGCATAAAAGCACAATTGTGACAACAACAGCAGCAACAATAATGTTATTATCCCATTTCATCCATGTAAGTGATCCTACTGTTAAACGATATTTATTCTAGCTATGGATATGGATTTGACCTGAGGAGAGGAGAGGCAATAAATACTTTCTCTTTTCCATAACTAAATTTAGAAATGTGAAATTTTCGGGATATGAAAATCGAAAGTAATCGAGAGCAATTTATCATACTATACCGAACATATTATACCGATCGAGAAATTTTAACATATTTTACCTTCAGTCAGGTTTTTATAAAGCTTTCAAGTCCAACCACAGAGAAAAACGGCGACATCAACGGAATTGACCAGAACGGCCAAATTGGAGAGAATCATCAGTAATCGCTACGTGCTTCAAATTCGGTACCTAATAAAAAAGTATAAAGCTTATCGCGAATGTATTAACTCTACTAATGTCCACCGGACCAAACAACAATCACTTCGTTGAAGATTTTTTTGCGTTTTGGAAGCTTTTGAGGCACGAGTCCTACACCTCGGGAAATGCATAGCATCAGTTTAGCGTGCCATGAACAATCTATCCCGACCTGGTCGTTGATTGTTTATCCATGGTTTCGCCATGGTTTTTTTACTTTTCGCACTTTGCACAGTTCAACATCGGGGCTCATATTGCCGTCTTTCAGGACGTACTAAAGAAGCTCTCTTACAAATTTTCGCAAAGATTTTACCAAGATCTTATTTCTTAGTGACCATTGTTTCTATTGACATATCGCAAACATTGCCTTGGAGCGGAGGAGTCTTGTCGATTGCATACCTTGTTTGCTGTTAAGTCATGAAAACATGAGAAAAGATTGCAAGATATTTCTCTTGGTGGTGTCCTTTTCCAATATATAAGCAAATAGGGTGTAGAAGGAAATTCAAGTAAATAAGTCATCAGAGAGAAAAGATTTTTCCTTTAAAAAGGCTTTTGATCTTCTCTAGATAGTGAATTGTTTTATTTGAGAGCTAATTCAATTTATAAACACTACAAGAGGAATCTCTATTCAGTTCGGAAGGAATGTATTTCTTTAACGCATTGCCCTTCAAGGTATTTGCTTCAATCAATAGCAACAACAACCAAAGATAGGTGAAGAACTAAACGTTATAATCTACCTACTAGGATTTTCCGCTTGTAACATGGTGCATTCTTATACGTCCAGTCCTGTTTTGTCCCTTCGCTGAACATTTGCATGCTTGGAATATGAAACCCACTGATACGCGTTAAAATAATTTGCCTCTGAACTAAATTCGTTCGTGATCATTATATCATCAATATTTAAAGATCATTACTAAACGGGCGATCATCAGAAGACATGACTCAATACGACAGGAATCTTTTCTTGACAGTATGGTAAGAAATCCCTAGAATCGGCCAAAACAAACAATGAAATCACTTACAAAAAATCATCACAGAAAAAATCTTTATAAAATAAAAGAAAAAAGTAAAGCATTTTCATTTACTATTTTGCGATTCGTAAACATTTCTTTCAAATTTCTTCCGCTCTCTTAACTTGCCCTAATTCAACGTTCAATCATGGCATGGTATATGCTTTTGCAATATTTATAACTTATGTATAATTTCCACCGAAATTTCCATGCTGTCATGAAAATATTGTATCGCAGCCGGAAATAATCCTCTTAAGCGTATAAATGAAAACGTTATAAAATAAATGTTAATCCTTTTGGAAACTTTATAATTTTCCGCGCCAATAAGATGTTGAAGAATAAATTGTAGAAAGAATGTTCCGAAGGAATCGACTTATCCACATACAAAGTTAAGGGAAATCATTCTTAATGAAAATTTTTTTAATGTGCTTTTCTTTTTTAAATAACTTTTGAATTAGTTTATACTTACCAGTAGAAACGAAGTTGTTATTGCGAAGTTTATTAATTAAACTTTAATGTACAAAATATGTATAAAAAGTTGTTTAAAATTTTTACTTATTTTTCTGTTTTCTGTTCATTTTCTTTTTGAATTTTCATTATAATTAAAGCTTTAATTTAAATAAATAACCTTTTTATTTAGGAAATTAAAGAATTAGTTATTATTTTTAGTGCTAGTTTGGCTTTTATACTTTATACGAATAGTAGATCCCTGAAGAACAATATTCTTTGCCGTTGGGACAGAACTAAGCATAACTATACATATATATAAACTAATTTAGTTTAATCATTTTTCTCTTTTTTTCTTTTTTTTTTTTGAAATTGTAAATATTAATCACTTTACTGTTTGTTTTTCTTTTTAATATTTAAACACGTGAATATAAATTTGCTTATATATGAAATGTTTCTATTTAAGAACTCAGTTTTAAAAAACTACGATAGAAAAATACGAAATATTTTAAGAAAACGAATTTTTTACTGTTTGTTTACATTACGCCGCTTATACATATACATACTGACACACAAGCTTTCGCGCACACAATCACATAATAATTTGTTATTACTTCTGTTATTTTGTAATCTACACAAGTTTGCGTTTATTTAAAGAAATCATATTTATGATTTCTTTAATAATAAAATTATATCAACACAATTAGAAAAAACGTACGCGCACATAAGGGAAAACTTATTAATGAATTGTGAAAAATTCTGAATAATAAGGAAAACTGCAAATAAAAATTTTACTGACGTTTATTCTAATTGAAGATAGAATGTATAAGAAAGAGAACACTGTTATAAATTGGCGGCATTGCCACCCTCACAAAAAAAAGTAAACAATACGTTTTCGTTTTTTCTCCCGGTTATTTTATTATTTTTTTAATAAAACGCTCTCTTATAATAAAACGTACTCGCTGATGCGTGCATATAAACCCACACACACAACACATATGCAGATATTTTACAGAGATGAACACACGCATTACAGGGCGAGGTCTTAAAAAAATACCGAATGGGAAACAAACTGAATTACCCCATATCTTGTTCACTTAACAGATATCCGTGCCGTCCAAGAACTTTCATCTTTTTAATATACTCGCAACTTATTAACATAGAAACTTAAACTACGTGTATCGAATCAATCACCATCTTTGTCCTTTCATCCAATGAAATTAAGGCAAAGCTCATTTTTAATATATTTAATTGTGTTCTTCCGCATCTTATAAACAAAGAACAGCTGAAAATCAAAATTTACTGCCATTTTCTGGAATGTGGGAACCTACAACAGCTGAACAGTACAATTTGATATTATTTTTCCTTAGTATAAAAAAAAAAGTGGAGGTTATGGAGATGAAAAACTGAAAAAAATAAAAAAAGACCATGCAATAAACGGACCATTTTTTTCGTACCCCTTTTTAAACAAATGGTAAAACTATAATATAATAAATTTCTTAAAATCCAAATGACTGACTCCAGAAAAGAGACTATAGAATGGACATGAAAATCCATTGTTACTTTTTTCGGATTTTCCATACAATTTTGTCTTTTTGCCATTAACCGGTCAACAGAGTATTTATTGCAAAGTCCACTGCTCCTGCCCACAACTACACAAACAGGACCTACTTTCACTAGGTTTTTTTATAATGCACACATTATTCAGTTTATTTATTTTTATTTTAGACAATTTATATTTTGCACCATTTAGTAATCTCATATTTTTTCTTCTTTTTATTTTTTTATTTAATTGAAAAATATTAAAATTAAGTATATTTTCGCAAACAGTTTGCCTTCTTTCTTTAATACTTTCGGTTTGCAATAGTTCTCTATTCTGTCGTCCAACACAAAGCTCTCACAAAGCACACACTCACACATATTCTAATTCATAAAGAGCGAGAGAATACAAAGGAGCAGCAACGGCAACTTTGAATTACTCTCAGATTTGACCAAATTCGAACAGCTACGTATGGCTGCTACTTCTCTGCTTTGTAAAGAAAAAAAAAAAAGAACAAAAAATGACGAGCAAGTATAGAATAAGAAAAAATTTTCCACATGCTTTTTTCCATTAAAATCACTTATTTTCTAGAAGTTTTTCTACTCTATTTTCACTTAATCGTACGCACACTATATGGAATTCGTTGTTAACCAAATTTTTTAAACGTTTTATTAATGCATAATAAATAAAATTAATTCTATTTTTGTGAAAAAATATTTCCTTCTCCTTATTACCGTTAGTGTTGCCAGTACTGCATAAAATTTTAATAACTCACGTTTGATCCCACGAAATTTTTGCAAGAAATTTTCTTATTAGAAATTTTTCGCAACTTTATTGGGTAAAATGTTGTTACATTTTCGTTAATTTTTATAATAATATAATTTACCCTGTGCTAAGTTGCATTTCTTTGATTTCTTTCAACCTGTTATCAGCAAAGATTTTAATTGAGTTTAGTTGCTAGATATTTTCTTTTTTTTTGTGTTTTTTTGCACCTTCAAATTTAAAGAATTATTTATTCAACGAAATTCTTTTGTTGCTTAAGGTGATATACAAATATAATAAAATTGATTTACTCCATCTAAATATTTTTACATTGCCAGGTCACCACTTGAAACGTTTTGTTGTCCCTTATTAACTTAAAATGTAAGTATGTTTTTGTTTTTGTGTTTTTAATAAATTACGGGGAAATACAAAGTTGTTAAATTTGTCTTTTGTTTCTGTTAGTTTTTAGGCCAGAATAAATTATTATTAAGCATGTTTTTCATAAAAGAAATGATTTATACGAATGAACAAATGAATTTCCTTATGAATGAATGATCGAAATATGTTTAGATCACTTGCTGTGGTAAACGGCATTGCAAAGCAGTTCGATAACTTATGACTTGTCAAGCTTATCAATGGAAGATATAGTTATAAAGACTGAATTATTCATTCTTTTTTGCATTTTATTTGAATTGGGAGGGAAATGCAAAAAGGGAAATTTCAGCAGTACATACATTAATGAAGACAATAGATATTTAGGTACTAATAAGAATCTGTTTTTATTTTTCTTATAGAGTTTTATGTCTAAGAAAATGGATAAAAATTTAAATGAAGAAAGTAAAGACGCCATGGAAATGGAAAGCAGGAAAGATATCGAGAAAGAAGCAACTAGAGAACCAGACGATGAATCCGACGATGACGAAGAGGAAGGCCGATTTAGAATTGTACCGAATGCGACTACCATTTCACACGATCATCCGCATCTCTTTCCAAAGGTATACAAATTCTATTTCAATCTTGTCAAAGACATCGAAATCGAGATAAATCGAGTTGGACCAAGTTTTTCATATCATCCTAGTGTGTATCTTTATCAAGCTCACAGTTGTCACAGTCTATATCTAAATTATTTTGTAAGAAAACATTTGGCTACTAAACATGATGTGGAGCTTATGGACCGTCGTACAGAGGTGGTGATCGAAGAACCCGATCGCTTTGAGACAGGCACAAATCCTAGATTAAAAGCAGCTATTGAGAAACATTATAAAATATTCACTGATAGAAATACGAAAGCTATTGATGTTCACTACAGCGTGAAAGTGGTTTCTCTTTCACATTCGATATTTTTCCATTATGAAATACCAAAAGGTGAATTCCATGCTTATTATGACAATCTGTTGGCCATTGTTAAGTATTTGGATAGTTTGGTCTACAATACTGTGGAAATTAACCCCTGCACAGGTTGTGAATATTTTAATGGCGATGCTAATATTATATTCGATGGTGAAGTAGTTTTTCAAATAAAAACCTCCAGACACTTCTCACTAGTTCCTGGCGACCCCTTTATAAGGAAAGAAAGATTCTCACAATTAGCTTTATATTCGTTTGGTTATTATAAAAGAACTGGCAAAAAAATTTTAAAGCTTGTTGTCTACAATCCGCTCTTGGGTTGTGAATACGTAATGCAATTGAATGATATCGATTACGAGCTATTCGAAAAGGCCTTAGACAGAGACGTAACAGTATTTCAATTATTATTTGGAATGTCATCTGAAAGTGACAGTGACGATTCAGATGATACGAAAAAGTCAGAGGAAAAAGAAATTAAATAATCATTCCCACCGTGAATGGATTTGTTTGCGTGCAATGTACGAAAATTTATTTGCTATTTTATTTCTTAGGCATACCAGGAGTTTTACTTTTGGTATAGGATAGCAAGCCTTAGAAGTCGGTTCGGTTTTTGATTAGCTTCAAAAATAATATTGATTTAAATGTTGTTTGTCCGTCTGTTGTTTTGTTTAGAATATTTGTCTTCATTTTAGTCTTACATATATATATACATATCCGCCATTGAAGGATATAAGTACACTAAATAAAATACATATCAGAGACAGGATTGCTTATGCCCCTGATCAGCCTAAGAAGTGATGCGTCTACTGTTGGCATCTATTGTTGGAAAGCCTCTGGATACGAAAATTAAAGTAAAAAAAAAAAAAAAAAAATTGAAATATACTATATACTTCTACTATTACTATTCTAAAATTAGAAATAAACTAAGATAGTTAACCAAGTTAACTAAGAATTTTGTGAGGAAGGACGTGAGACCAATACAAGCCCAGATTTACGGGCCTTTTAAGAGATATTAAGCAAGAATTCAAATATTTCGTACAGCCCTCTTAAAAGGGTAAAGCAACAAGAGCTAAACGATATTAAAGGTTCACCTTATCGTGATTATACCTTTGTAATATGTTGACTTTTGTCAGGTAAAGTACTAATATCAGTTATTTTGGACCTTAACTTCAGTTATTATCTCGAAAAATATGGAAACCAAAAGTTTACTCATTATCGTTTTTTGTGCAATAATCTCCGTGTTTATGTTATTATGCATGTGCATGCATGTTATTCTTCGAGTATTTTATCAGTAAGAATTATTAACTTCAAGTAAACAATTCTAAACAGTGACATACAAATATTACTTCGAAATAATGTACTAAAATTAAAGACTGTTACGTAACACTTAGTTGCACCCAAAAGCTTTACATTGGCGTTTTAGATAATTTTGTTAAATATTTGTAACAAATTTTAATTCATTATCTTCTTTAAGTTCTAGGGTACAGTTTTTGTTGCGCGACACCTGTTCATCTCTATTTTCAAGTTTGACTTGAGATATTAAATATCTAGAGCCAGGTATTAGCCAGACACCTCTCAACTTTAGCGTTTCCGACCTATACGCAAATGGAATTAAATCCCATACATATGCAAACATACACACATGCATATACATAAATATAATATATATACATCTATATATGTATATACATATATAATATATATGCAAACATACATTCATGTAGTAATTGCTGTTCTTAACATTACATTAATATTAATACACATAAGCAACAAATTTTTCTTTGAATCTAAACAAAATCAGTCCACTCTGAGAATTACCAAATATCAGTTCATCCATGCAATTTCTTTCTTATGAAGGCGTTCACTTTTAGTAGAGAGGCGCCGTCAATATAATTATTAAAATAATAATATATGTACATGTACGCGATATATGTCCACTCTGTATATATGTGCATATATATGTATTTATATTTTATATTTACATATATATATATATATATATATATATATTAATATATGTAAATTTAGTATAGTTTTATCCTTCCATGTTTATAACGGTGGTTTAATGTAGAGTGCTATGGATACATATATACTTGTTACTTTATTCTTGTTGCTTCGATTTTCTTCTTTTTTTTTCCTTTTCGATATTATTTGTTGTTATCTTCACAAAAATTTGCTTGAAACGTTTCTTTTAAATTACTGATTAAAAAAAAAAAAGAGAAACAAAAATTCGAAAGGTTGAAATTTTTCTCTGTTTAAAATAAACCTGAACAAGACGAAAGAGAGGAAAATTTAAATGAACGAAATTTAAAATAAATTCAAATGCAATTCGCTTACACGCTTTCATATCAAAATACCTCTGGCGAATGTAGTGAGTAAAAGAAAAAGAAAAAAAAAAGCTATTAGGCAATATGAACACAATGACAAACTAACGTTAACAAAGCAACGATTATAGATGCAATACCCTACATTAAACCCTTAAACCATTAACTACCGATTATAAAAGCCTGAAAAACACAAGTTAAAACTGTAGTCGTGCAAGATCGACCAATAATCTACACAACTTCACTTACTCCCCTATCTTCGTCATATTAGTCGAAATCGCGTAGAGTATTTAATGATCGGCTTTGCCTGACTGTAATGTTTTTACTTCTGTTATCATACAATACCAAAAATTAGTTGCCCTATAAAGACTGAGAAACCTTGCAAATTAAACCTATATACTACAAATTTACTACAAAAATCATTTAATTTGTTTATGGAATCAAAATTGTATATGGATAAAAGTTCACTATAAGATGCTAATACTATCCGACATTAATTATGATAAGAGTAATGTTAAGAGTACGCAAAAGTCGATTGAACCCTGCATGTTCATCTGCCTATCTTCGATTTAAGAAGGCGAAGTGGTAATTGTTGCTTGTACCAGACTAGGACGTTCCAAATAGAATAACGCAATTGCATTAAGCTGTAAGTGGTACGTAAGGATTCCATTTCACAACTATAACATTTTAATTTTGTCGAACTTATGAGTATTTATATTTACCGCTCCTAGCGAAAGACCGGTCGATCCTAACGAGGAGTTATAGACTTATACAAAATACTGGCGAAAAAAAAATAATATAAAATTATAAAAAAAAATAACATGTATGGTGACGCTCATAGTATAATTTTATGCGGACATCCGTGTGCGACCAAGTAATATAATTAAAATAAAATAGTCACAATTGGCACAAACAATGTAAATGTAATGTAATGTAATGCGAATAATACATAGTGTTATCGTATTTTTAAAAATTTCGCCAAAATTCCTAGAATTTAATTAGAAATACGTATAGTTTTCAAAAATTCCCTAATAAGGTGGATAATGTATCTTTGAACCAGTTTTACGATTAAGTATAGCGTAGAGTAAGAGTAATTAAAGCAATATTTTTTTGATTGTTTTTCCTTTTAACATTTTATGCAATATTTTATTTGCTTTGTAATCTTTATATTTTATATTTTAAGAGAATTTTTCAATTCAATATTTCAATTTTATACCAAAAACATACACAGTGCGTAATGTGGAAAAGAGAAAAAATCACATAACAATGTATTCTTTGATTTATATTCCATCATATGAGAAATAAAATTTTATAGATTTTATATTTATATATATCGTTCCACTTATTTTATTTTCTCTCGCTATTCCCTCCAAAAGTCTAAATTTATAAAGGATGCATGGTGCATAAGCATAAATTTTTCTCCATGATACCTCAATTCATAAAAGCTTAGAAAACTATCCCCTCATATAAAAATTTGCTTCTTCTTTTTAAAGTGGCTTATAAAGGAATTCTCCTTTGAAAACGTTTAAAAATCCCCTTCTCCCATGCAATAAATTAACTTTTTCTTTCTTTAATTGTCGTCCAATAAATTAACATTCATCTGAAGAAAATTGTTTATTTCCATGGAGAGAAAGATTAAAAAAAAGGAATTCTTCAAGAATTATCTTTCAAGAGTAATAATGCTAAAAAAAATTACTATAACTTGGCCACCCATTACAAAGCCTGAATAGGAGGAGGCTTCAGAATCGACATCTCATGGTAAAATTTATAAAACTCCACCCTTTCTAGGACTGATTTATATTTACACCAAATTGATTTATTTCAATTGATTCATATTGATTTTTTTGATTTAATTTTATAAATTTTGTTTTTAATTTTTACATAAACTGCATATATTTTATAAATTTCCAATGGAGAGATTTTCTATAACAATCTTTTCTTTTCATTTCTTTAGAATGCAATTTTTTAGAATTGAAAAATTTTTTTAGAAGAACAAATTTATAAAATATTATAAAAAACATAAATAAATATTTATAAAAAACCAAAAAATGTGTATGTGTATGTATATATTGCTTTTATAAAAAATTATGCAAATTTTCCTTTTTAAATTTGTTTACAAAAAATTACAAAAATAATATTTTTAATAACTTTTTAAGGACAAAGATTGTTTGATAAAGTTGTAAAAGATTAAGAAAAAATTACAAAAAATTTCGAAAAAAGTGAAAAACAAAACTTCGTAAAAAACTAAAACATGATGTGTATATATATTTAAAAAAATTAATTTTTTTTATTAAAAATTATAAGAAAAATTTTTTAATGCCTTTTTAGGGGGAACATTTGCTTTCATTAAATTAAAAAAAAATGTAAAAATATTTATAAAAAACTATATATATATATATGTATATATTCACTGCATTTATAACAATTTTTTGCTAAAAACTTTTTTTTTGAAATTTGTTTATAAAAAATTGTTATAATTATAAAATTTAGTATATATGTATACATTTGTAAAAATTTTATATAACAAAATTTTTATAGAAAATTCCTAAAGCAAATTCTTTTTTTTTTTGAAAGTTTTAAAAAAAATATAAAAATTAAAAAAAAATATCAAAAAAAAATTCTTGAAAAAAACCAAAAAATGTGCGTATATATTGCATTTATAAAAAAAATTACACAAATTTTTTCTAAAAATTTCGTTTTTTGAAATTTTCTTAAATATTTTTTAATAGATTTTTAAGTATAGAGTTTTCCTTCCATCAGCGAAGAAATAACGGGTTTATTAAAAAAATTTGCAAAACGCACTCAAAATTTTTTATATAAACATTTAAAAGCCTTAAGGATACAGCTTTGTTTCATCTCAGTCCTGATCCATCCCTGATTTACCGAACTTGTTGAAGTTAGATAAATAAAGTGAAACTGTATGCAACTGTGATATCTTTGAGGAAAAGTTCATACAATTGAAATTCAAAACTTTGATAATTTGTTAGAGAGAGAGAGAGAGAGCGAGAGAGAGAGAAAAGAGTTGATCCTATAGTTAGTGCTAGAAAACTGTTAATAATCTCTTCTTGCTTTCATTATAGAACTTGAAGTCTGAAAAAATGGATGAAAATTTAAATGAAGAAATTAAAGATGACACCATGCAAACAAAAAGTCAGAAAGAGTCGAGTGCGGGAAGAGATGGTGAATCCGATGAAAAGGCAGACGAAGGAAAAAAACAAGAAGGAGAAGCAGAGAAGGAAGCAGAAGCGGAAAAAGAAAAAGGATCAGAAGGAGAAAAAAAAGAAATAGTAAAGAGTCGATTTAAGTATATGCCGAATGCTACGACTATTTCGATGGATATTCCGCATCTCTTTCCAAAGGTATATAAATTTCTTTTCAATGCGGTAAAAGATATCGAAATCGAGATAAATCGCGTTGGACCAAGTTTTAATTATCACCCGAGCGTCTATTATAATAAGACTTTCACATTTCACAGTCTATATCTAAATTATTTTGTAAGAAAACATTTGGCTACTAAACATGATGTGGAGCTTAGGGATCGTCGTGCAGAGATGGTGATCGAAGAACCCGATCGCTTTGAGACAGGTGCAAATCCTAAACTAAAAGCAGCTATCGAAAAACATTATAAAATATTTACTGATAGAAATACGAAAGCCATTGATATTCCCTATAGCATTAAAGTGGTTTCGCTTTCGCATGCAATATCTTTCCGCGAACGAGTGCCCGAAACTGAATTTGATACTTATTATGATAATCTGTTGGCCATCGTCAAGTATTTGGACAGCTTGGTCTACAATATGGTTGAAATTAATCCGAAAATCGATTGTGAATACTTTCGTGCCGAACCGAATATAATATTCGATGGTGAAGTAGTCTTTCAAATTAAAGTTTCCAAATTAAAATCACTGGATCGTAATCGTGAGGTGATATCTAGTAGGAGATTTGTCCAATTGCTTTTATATTCATTCGCTTATTACAAACTAACTGGCAAAAAAATTCTCAAGCTTGTGATTTATAATCCCCTCTTGAGTTATGAATACGTAATGGAATTGGATGATATTGATTATGAACTATTCGAAGTAGCCTTAGATAAAGATGTAACAGCGTTTCAAATAAAATATCCAATGCTATATGAAAGTGACGATTCAGACGAAAAAGGTTCAGATAATAAAGAAAAGGTGGATGAATAGAAAATTAATCACATCTGGGAGTCGAATATGTTTTGTACATAACGTCTGCAAAAAATTGAATACTTTCCTTGAGAACATCATGAGGGTCGTATTAATAACTAAGTGTGAGAATGTTTTTTCAAAGACTGGTTCAATTTCTGGTTAGCCTAAACAAAAATATATTTTTTGATTTACCTGCGTCCGTCTGTCTAACTGTTATAATTATTTTGGGCTTTTCTTATATAAATATATATATATATATATATGTATATCTGTATATATATATGTGACGATCATCTCTCTCTTTCTCCCATATAAAACGTATATATATATATATTCTTGATGAACGTACAATAATGATTTGTTGCGCCCATTTGTCGGCTATTGTTGGAATGCTTCTGTTAGTAAAAGTCGTTATTTCGATATATATATGCAGCATAATAGACGTAAGGACAAGCGGCAGAAAACATTGACTTTTTGGTCCATTTAAGTGATATTGAACTAGAACTTGGTATAAATATTTCCTACGGCCCTTTAAAACGTTGGAGGCAGTGGGCAGCGAAGAATCACTCTGTCGTGATTACACCCTTGCAATTGATTTACTGTCGTCAGATAAGATTTTTAACATCAGTTAGATTTTTCCTTAAGTTCATTTATTATCTGCAAAAATGAAAAAGTATATGTTACGTTTAATGATAGTAGGCATGTTATGTTTCCTCTTGAGTATTTCATCATTAAAAATGATCAATTCGCAATAAACTTTTCTGAAGTGTATTTATAAATACATTAGAAAATGCCACTCGAATGAAAGTGAATCGTGAATACGTTCGTGTTCCAAAAAATCTATAAAACATATATTCAAGGAAGATTCACTTCAATGTCTTATCTTAAGTTGACGATAACATTTTTTGCTTGCTTGCTATCCACGATCAGCAAGCCCTTGAACCCAATCTAAAAGATTGCATTTGATTGATGATGCTGACGATGTGTACACATGTAGAATTATATAATATGCGTACTTCTAGGGTTTGTGTATTGGGCCACGATTCTATGTTGGTTACAGATTCTCGGCCTGGTAGAATGATTTTAATAATAAATCCATACAATGATCAAGTAGGAACATTATAGTCGGGTAAGGCCGATCATTAGATATCGCAGATCACTTCGCCTAGTACAGTTATTCACTCGTTTTGCTAGTAATACATTAAAAATTATACATCAGTTTCTTATGAAAGCGTACGTTTTGCGAAAGTCCGCATGTTGAAGTGACGTGAGTCAAATTAAGCAAACTTCAGTTTCCGTCATAAAAAACTACAAATCAGACTTTGTCCGAATAAGGACTTGTTCTTCATAATAATCTCTATGTCTATTAGGATTATCTGGCTCGAATTCCCTACCGTTTTTGTTGTTTTTGCTACTATGGACCAATTTTCATCATAAAATATTGAATATTCAACCTTTTTCCAGAGAGCGTACAATTCACATAACAGATCTTATATGGAATGGGATCTAGAAAATAGACTTACGTGATTCAAATGTGTTGTACTTAACGTTTATCTTAAATAATTATGATGAACAAATGTTCATCATAAACCATCAATAATTGGCATATAATGGTTTATATTTTCTGAGAATAGTGAACGAAGGTATCAAAAAAATAGATTTACCTGGTCAAAATTCGCTAAAGTTGATCGCTTTTTCAACTTGTTATTATCAGCCAATTTTCACCTTGAAATATTGAAGATTAAATTATTTTTGCCATACACGAATTCAGTTTTCGTAGAAACGGTTCAAGAAATTGTCTACGTTGAATCAAATTTTTTAGAATCAGTTAAGAATTTTGAAATACTGTTACTCAGCAACTTTTGTGGAGAAATTTTCAAAATTGCAATTTTCTTCCATATAAGCGCTTTGACAGGGCAAGGCGTTATACATGGAGTGTTGGCAAAAGTGGACGGATCTGAACAAGGTTCAATAGTCCTTGTGTCAAATGTCAGTGTACCAAATTTCATCAAAATATCCCAAGAATTGTGACCTGTAGGTTAAACTCAAAAAACAAAAAGCACTGACGGAAACGTAACTTTAAATCAATTTAGAAAATAATTCTGAATCGATCGATACAATAAAATGTGCATCTATCTTAAGCCATTCTGGGCAGTACGTACGTCCTATCAAAATTAATACGCACCAAGCGGTATAGGGTAAAATACTTACTTTTTCTACATTTCCCTTTTTTCATTGACGCCTGCCTATCTGCGTAGACTTAATTTGAGGTAAACATACTTTCATGTATGCCCCGAGCTTTGCCAAAAACACCAATGGAACGTAAGGTACAAGATATGTCCTAAAATATTTCTGATTTGAGTAAGAAAAAATTTGTGATCAACTTAGTCTCCTTTAAGCATGATACATTCAATCCGAAAGCTCTCCTTAACACTTGCGTGCATTTTTTGTCATATTAACTTTTCGTTATACTGTAAGTAATTGCTTCACACTGTAAGTAATTGCTGCGGACATATGTTGCCTCACACGTCTACTCGTTGGCTCAATATGTAACAAATATGTTCTTTAAATATAATTATAGCCCCCGCTGTCTCTTTAAATTTAATTCAATGGTCGTATAGACTGATGCAGTTAAAAGCGGCGGCATTTTCGTCAATCAGTGGTTAGGGGTTTTGTTCATTTCGAAGATTTTCTAGACTAGGTAATGGCTGTACTTTTGCAGACTAAGCATTCACTATAGCTACGGCCAAAGAAAACTCGCTGGTAAACGCGATTCTTATCTACTCGACTGCTTAGGCGGATCAATGATAGCTCAATAGGCTATCTGTTTTCACACCACAACACTCCTATCAACTCATTCCAACGATTGCCAAACAATAAGTACGCATTAAAAATATCTGAAAGTTGCTTGAATGCCTATCAATATCTGCACGAACATATCCCCCAAGACAAACATTTTTTCATGTTTAGATTGGTAAATTTTCACACAACGGGCATTAATAATATTATAGTGAAATTTATTTATAGCATGCGAGCATGCAAACGGGTAATCGATTTTTGTAGCATATCAGATTCGCAGGCGGACGTAGGTAAATAAATTTAACTTTTAACATATATATATGTACACAAAGGGTGTCTCAAAATTCACGCAAAATTTGAATTTGGCGTCATTAGCAACAAAAAAAACAAAAAAGAGTTTTAGCAAAAATGGAGCATTGCTTGCGAGAGTAAAGCGTTTTGACGGTTGGGCAAAATATTTCAGAAATAATAGAAGTTTGACCATATGAGGTTGGTTAAGCTACTACTTATGCTCGATATCGCACTTTGAAAATACAGTTCCTTCTGCATTAAGCGGATGATTTTGATATGAGCAATATGTGGTTTCAACAAGACTTACGCTTCTAGTTATAAAACCCATGAAACAATTCATTTACCGCATGAGGCATTCCCTGGTCGTGTACTCTCTCGTTTCGGTGCTTAGAATTTTTGTAAAAAAAAATACGTTTATGCTAGCAAAGCTGGGGAGGCTATTTGTCCGATGTGCTATTCCGCGACTGCACCTATCCTATATACATTATGATTCAATCAAAAAATTATAATTGAAAAAAATCGATCTGCTTTCTATTTAATTCAAATATTGCGTATATTTTTCGACATTATATATACATATATATCCATAAATATCTATATATATATGAATATATACATATATATATATGTGAATATATATATATCCATATGTATCCATATATATATAACCTTCGAAGAAAGCATCTAAGGTAAATAAAATATATTTGAACCGGCTCCAGAAAAGACTGCAAAGTGATTAAAGTAATTTTTCCGCGTTTTCTTTCGTTGTTACATTTTGTGCAATATTTTAATTCGACTGCAAATTTTATATTTATTTTAAGAACATGTTTAAAGCTTTCAATCTTTATTAAACCAAAAACTAAATCTCGAAATATTTATTTTTACTATTATTATTATTACTACATTTATATTAAAATTTTTTTTTCTTTTGAATATAGGTCCAGTAAGATTTCATTTTTTTTTTTTGTTCTCTGAAATAATTTTTTTTTTATATTAATTAGAAAATCTTCTCTCTATATACCAAGAATTCAATTTGGAAATCTTGTAAAACATACAACATATAACTTGAGCTTGATCTTTTGCATTTATTGATGACAGGTTTCTATCATGAATTTCATAAAATTTTAAGAATATTATACGTAAAGCTTACATAAACATATATACATAGAGAATTAGAGACTAAAGATTTTATGAAAAAAATCGAATAAAAGATGAATTGACGAATGATCATCGTTCTTACTAACAATATCTTTCAAATTCGAACGATTCACCAAACACTTTCCGAAAATAAATTTGGAACTCTTAGATAATGTATTGGTTTTTTAAAATATATATTTTTTTTTTGTGTAAAAAAGTCTTTTTATATCCATCACCGAAAGATGAGGGGTATGTTCACTTTATTAAAACGTTTGTCGTTGACCAGAAGCAAGCTTCAGAGACACCATAAAGGTTATGCATTCCTGCTCAATGTCAAACTATGAATTCATTTGAGCATGTCTGTCCGTCCGTGTAATGTGCGTTCTAAACATTCCCTTGGCGGCACAAATGAATATCTCGACTTCAAACACAGAACGTTAGAAGTTCGTGCACGTAGGTTGATAGTGAATATGGGCCAAATTGGTCGAAGGACACGTCTACTTTACTGCACGTAAACTGAGAAGACTTTTGTGTTTTAGAAGATATAAAAAATGTTTTTATTTCTTATTACTCATAAAGTATAGCAGATAAATCTACAAACACTTGAACGTATATTCTATAGGCGATGCGGTAGTATGTGTACAAACACTCAACGTTATGGTATATCAAAATTAAAATTTCTTTCTCGATACCTTTACAATGCGTAGAATCAGGATTCAACAACTCAAAGAAAGTACATAAAATCTTGGCAAATTTGGAATGGATATAGGCTTGTCGGTCTCTTCGACAGTCCCTCTGTCAGCCTGTTTATGTGTATGTCTGCGCAACTGTGTAATATCTGTGGTAATGATTCTACCGCTATCGCCTATAGAATTTGGAAGTGACTTAAACTTTTTCAAGGACACGCCTACAACGCCCACATGTCAAAAATATTTACTTTGTAAATAGAAATAATCAGCAGCGTCTTTTCCATATTAC